GACGGAGATGAGCAGAACGAATGCCGTAGGACAGCTTCGGCTCCCTGGAGGACGCAGGCTAAGGAAGGTGAAAGAAGTGCAATTACAGGAGGTTTTCAGCACAGAAAGTTAATTAGCTACTAAATAGCATTTAGTGCCGTTCAACATGGGGAAATTTATGTTTTGAAAGCAAACAGATCAATGGAAAGCCTGTGGAGCTGGGTTTTGGAAAGTCCATGTTGACATTCGTGTACTTTGTACTGTAACGTCCTGGGCAGTTCTTCGCAGGTTTCCTGAACAAATAGGGAGAATTGTTGGGTTTGTTTCCACACGTGTTTGTGGACGTACAGATATGCTTCCACATGAGGATGTTTTGATTTGATTTCAGAACTTCTGGGTTTAAATTTCAGAGCTTCTTTCATCCAGACTATCTAACACCTTTTTCCCTATTCACCGAGGTCAGTGTAAAACAATTCTGTTCGGGCTCTCTGAGGCAAAGCAACTTCAAGTTCCAAATATTTTCAGCCAAAGGATGAATTTAACACAATTTTTAACCTCATTACACATCTGTGCTGATCGGATGCGAGTAGCTGGTGCGACTGCAGCGTTTCGACGCCTGGCTCTGCGTGGCCACGCTGCTCTGGTAGTGGTGCCGTCCCGCGATGTCCTTCCAGTCCTTCTCCGCAGCGCAACTGGGAATGGCCAGAAATATTTTGACAAGTTTTTTTTTAATCCCAAATTACCAATCTGTTTTCTTTTGCACATCTTTTATATGTCACTGAAAGTCAGCCTGTTTCACAGTTCATGATGTATGTATATTGTCAAGGACACTTTTTTTGATCAGAACGATAGATTTGGGTTCCGGCTGCCTGATGCTTACCTCCCTTTATAGAGTCACTACACTGAATTTTTAGGCGTTTCAGGATAGCTTTGAACTTTTATTGATGGATTTTTTATTTGAAGCTCTCTGTCTTAGATGTTTTAGGCAGCTGATGCTGCTATGAGCTATTTCACCTTGCTGGAAAGAGGAGGAACCTAGAAGGTCAGTGCCTGTGGGGAGTAGTGGAGAAACAGAGAAATGCTAACCCCTGGGGAGGAAAAGGGGCATGTAATTCCCATTACATGGATGCTCATACATTATGATGATACTTATTGTCTGTAAATGATGCTTCACAAGCCAGCGCGCAGGGACGGCTCGAGCGGTAAGGAACGCTGTTATTAGCGAAGGCGTGCTTTAGTGCGGTGGGATGGAGAGCCAGCTGCGCAGGGTTTGGCTCTTGCAGGAGGCTCTCTGGGAATCGGGTGGTGCGCGCTGACAGCTCAGGTACTGCCACATCATGACTATGATCTTCAGCCCCTTTCCCTCTTATAATTACATTTGTCACATCATGTCGTAAAATGAGTTATTAGGTCTTTGTTGCTGAAACAGTCTGCCCATGTAATTGGTGCAAGGCTCTGCCCTGGCTCCATTACAGAAATAATTGGGTTTAGCTCTCGTTCTGCTGTAGGTGTGTACAGATGCTTTGGCCGAACAGTAAGTCAGGTCCCATTACTACGTTACCGCACGCCGCAAGTCTCACTCCTCGGATCGGGCGCGCAAGGCGGTTCCCCGGCGGTGGGAGGGGGACGGTGGCCGCCTTCCTTACACAAGCGCTTGTGTCCTTAGGGGCTACAAAAGCTCGAGGAGTGTAGGTATGGGTGATTGCTGTAGTTGATTGTTGAGTGGAGAAAATACATCACCAGCCGGCCTTGCTCACCAGCAAGAATGAGATGTATTTTGAGACGAGAGAGTAATGGGACTTCAGTAAGGGGAAAAGGCTTTAGTGGAATCCTGAGTATGTCCGTGGGTTTTCTGCCTCAGGTTTTGCTAATCCTCCTCATTTTTTTTTTCCCCCTGTCCCTTTTATTCCCACGGACCATCGCACTTGCTCTCTTGTTTTGCTGAGCAGTGCTGTATACTAGCTGGCGCTTTGTTTTTCCTGGATCCCACAACCCAAAGTCTCTCTGGAATGTTCCTCCAGCTCTTTGCTTTGCAGTGCTTCAGCTCCCTGCTTTTGCAGGGCACTCCGGTATAAATCCCTCATCTAACAGGTATAATAGTCTGACTTTGATAAATAGTAGGTTGTAGAATTCTTCCCTTGCATCTGTGTATATTTATGTGCATATTTAGAGGACTACCCAAAACCCACAAAATTAGGATTGATCATACTACTTATTGTTACTTAAGTACTGAATGATCTCAATATTGAGATTATTTCTAAAAGTAGTCCAACAGATTAGAATCTTTTCAATTTTTTTTCAGTTAATATATACAGGAAAAAGTAATTTTAAATGCAGTGAGTTTTTTTCCTTAATTTCCACAGTGACTAAGTATGCACCAATGTATGAGGTGGTACACTCACTGCATCGATACCGTCTGTGAACGTATGTGTTTATCAGCCTCTCCAAAGGGCACGGGGTGCACAGATGTCTCGCTCAGATTTCATCTTCTTCATCAATCTGGAATTTCCCTGGGCTGCTCACTCTGAGGCACCGTGCTTACACTCACTGGCTTTCTGCTGTCCAGAAAGGGTAAATCCACTTAACGCATTGCTTCGGCTTGCTTCCATGCGTGCTGCGTGCGTGTGCAAGCTTGTCACTAGTGACCAAGCGTGAACAGTAAATACTTGTCTTGAAGAAGCATTTCCAGAAGATAGAACGTTGCCAGCACCTCTGTGCCTGGGCTCTCCAGCCTCCGAGTTTTCGGGTAGCTACTTGTGTATCTGAGGCGGAAGGAACTGCAGCTGGCAATAGCATCCCGTACTGAGGAGCCACAGGATTCCCCGGGATCAAAGCGAGCCTGCCCAGCTCTGCTGGTAACTATCATTTTTTGGCAGTCGCCTCTCTGCCAACTGGTCGTTTGAGATGATGCTCTTGAAGAATGGGCGCAGACAACGCGTCCCAGCCCTCTGTCCTACGGGCCAGTTAGTCTTTGCACGAGTTTTAGAAAATTGGTCGCCTCTGCTTAGTCTTTGAGCTAGTTTGAGTCATCTCTTCCAGGAAAATCCTGTGTAACCAGCTGTGGCTGTTACGAAGTGTTGCTCCATAAATACCAGCTGCCTGTAGCAAGCAGTCCAGCACAAGTGTCTTCTACCAGGACTCCTATTACTTCTGCATTAGCATGAGATACTGAGTGTTGTAGGAAAGGGCTATATTTTGCAGTTTTATCAGAAAGTAACGCTTGATTTATCACAAAGGCCGGTACAATTTTAATGGAAAAGTTCACAAGGTGCCGGTGATGGCGTATAGCTGCGCTTGAGACTGGAAGTATCCCGGTGTCTACCCTAGAAAAACTGCTGTCGTTCCTCTCTGAGCGAGCTTGGGTGTGTCGTACGATCCCTGCTCGCATGGTCAGGCTGCCATGTCACTTCTAAGACCTCAGCCTCCACATGGCTTGAATGTAAGTTTTGCTCTGATGCTTGCTTCCAGAAAAAGGGAGCAGCAGAACTTCATGAACCACGTGGCGAAGCCGTCCTTTTAGCTGAAAGCAAAACAGGCTTGGTCTCCTCTGCATAACACTGCAGAAGTAGGGAAGGGGGCTCGGGGATTTATTTCCCATGCGTGTGGGCGCTCAGGTTTTGAGTCCTACGCTTGAGCTGGGCGGCTCGCCGGGGCTTGGCTAAAAATTTAACCCACAACTAACTGGGATGTCCGGAGACCTGCCCATTGGAATGCAATGACCTGAACCATGGGTAGATGCTGCAAATAAGGCTCGTCCCTGTGGAAGAGGCACTGGAGCCAGGCTTGGAAAGCATACTGATGTGGTGTGCTGCAGATGCATGCTGAGTGTGTGATTTTCAGCGTTCAGTGCCTACATTGTTAGATAAGCGGATTAGAAAACATTGCATAAAGTGGCATTGCAGGGGGCTGTCTTTATACCTGCTACTTGCCTTGTTTTGCAAACCCCGATTTCACAGCGGAACCCATTCAGAGCTTGCACTGAGATTGTTCACATGTATTGGCCTTTTTAAGAATCAAGGGGTCACAGTTTCAGATTCACTTAATTCTCAAAGCAGTGATATTTTTCTTTTGGGATCAGGGCTGGTGGCGGGCATGTGGGTTTTTTTAATCTAAACTCAGTGTGCTCTTAAAGGTGAGTGTCTGCGGCGCAGTGAGCTCCTGGCGTATTGGGAAACGCTTAAAATACTTCACAGTGGGTTAAGGAGCTCACGTGTAAGTTCCCACTCCTTAACCCTCCAAAGTTTCAAGTTTGCAAGTGCAAACCATTTGTCCGAAGTTTATACACACGAATCCAGGCTTGTCAGGGATTACTTGCAAAGGCGTAATGAGAAACTCGAGTTCCGGGGAAATATCGTGGGATCTTGCGGTCGCCGAGGGAAGCTGCCAGATGCGATCACTAGTCAATGCTGCAGCCTGAATGCGCTCACTCCTGCTGTCCCCGGTGCGGCATGCTGCGGAGCGGTGGGGCAAGCAGTCTCTTCCTCGGGAAGTTATGTTTTTTGAACGGCCCGAGGTTTTCCATCCCGAGGGGTCGTCAGTCCCAGAGGCGTAACGGTTTGAAGGGGTCCTGCAGCGCAGGGCGCTGCGGCGTGGGCTGGAGGGGCCGCCGGTGCCTGCTGTACCGGCTCCCCAACGCGCTCTTTGTGCTGCGACGGAGGAGCAGGGGACGGGCCGTTCCTCGGAGCAGTCTGGGCTCTTCCCACACTGGGCTTCTTCATTTTGCCTTCTCAAAAGTCAGTGTTTTGAGGAATGGGTTTTGCTCTCCCCGGTTCTGTGTGGAATTCAGGAACAGACCGAAAACACAACTGTTTTTGGGATGGTAGGGAATTAATTTGAATAAAAATAATTTAATCTCTTCTGTGGGCCGTCGGTTATTGACTCCTTAGACCTGCACTGAATTCCAATTTCAGAGCTCGGACAAAAGATTTTTAACATGGAGCATCTGTGGCTATTGCGTGTAACTGCAGTCGTCCTTGGCTGATGTCTTGCGCGGCTTTCTTCCTCCACGCTCTTGCCTGCAGGGACACGTGTGACAATCGCATGACCTGCTCCACCAGCCCTGCCTCCAGCCTCGACGCCAGCGCCCGGTTCCAGGAGAATAATGGGCAAATGCAGAGCACCAGATGGGACGAACAGCAGAAAGTATTTGCCCTCGAGCAGGTCTGTGGTGTCTTTAGAGTGGACCTGGGACAAATGAGATCCCTTCGCCTCTTCTTTAGGTAACGTATTATTTGTGTGTGCTCTGGATCAGTGCGCGCTGGGCTCTGTGGGGGCAGGTGGCTTCTGCAGTCCTCCTTGGAAGTTTTTCCCTAATGGTTGTCTCCAGGAAAGCAAGTGCCAGCCTTCCCAAGGAGAGCCTCTGAATTACAGTTATGGGGCCTAAAGGACTTTTTTCCCTAGTAAGGTAAAGGTTGCTCTTAGCTATCTTACCAAAAACGTTTACGATAACCTGGAGGTGTGGAAAGCTTCTCTTTATCTGTGCCCCTCACCAGGGCTCCCCTAGGCTCTTGTTGCTTTTCACTTTGTCCGTTATCTTCCACATTATTACAAAAATTATTAAAAACATTTTAGTCTGTCTTTTCACTCTCACTTCTTTAGACAATGCTGTGTGCGACCAAGTCCACTCATGTCTAGGAGCTGGCTTTGTCTTCTGCCTCGATGTTGCTGGGGCAGACTTCTTGGGTGGTTGTTCTCCAGGGAAGTAATTTAATTCCTTCACCTGGTGGAAGGGTAAAAGAGCGCAGTTACCAGGCACGGGTGGGGCTTCTTGGGGAAAACGGTCACTATAGCCATGTCATAGAATATCTCAAGCTGGAAGGGACCTGTAAGGATCACCGAGTCCCAGAGCTGTACAATTACTTCTGCGCCCTGTTTCAAGGGACAACTTGGTGCTACGCTTTTTTGTAATGTGCTTTGCACTCTGTCTCGTCTGACGTCCCCCCTTCCCGCTGGGCCCCTCGTTATCCCGGGCGATGAATGCAGGTTGTTCTTCCCCGTTGTCTTGTCCCACAGCGATGAGGCGTGCACCTGCGGACAGCTGGTTGTTGCGAGCAGGGAGAGTCAGTACAAGATCTTCCATTTTCACCACGGTGGCCTGGATAAACTGTCCGAGGTGTTTCAGCAATGGAAGTACTGCACGGAGACACATCTCAAGGACCAGGTACCTGAGCAAGGCTCGTCGAGCAAAGAGGGTTTTTCCAGCAGACGTTTCACACTTAGGTTTTTAGCCAGGGGAGTGTGTTGGAGAAATGAAGCGATGAGTTCACGCCACCAAGTCCGGCAGAAAGCCACAATGTGCTGGATGTTGTTTGGGATGCAACGGCGAGTCGGACGCGAGGTCTCTCGTGTGCTTTCTTACCCGCGTCCGTTCCCGTTCTGCCTGTGGAATACGGGGGAAGACAATCCAGAAGACTTGCTTAGGTCGTTACGTTGCTAGACCCAACGGGTCAGCACTGTGCTTTAGGCGTGTAAGGTGGCTGGGAAATCTGCAGTGGTAGGTCTGAAATTCTGACAGAGTCTTTCATCCATTTTGTGAAGCGTCACACACTGCACCGGAAAATGTTTTGACAAGGCATCCTGCCATATTTTGTTCAATCTACATACAAATGTGATAAGAGCTCTTTAATTATCTGTTTAAGATACTGTATGTGCTTATTAGAAACAGTGATTTTTAAATTTCCATCCTTCCCACAGAGCCCCCTGCTGCTTTTCTTATTATGGTCGCATGGGCTCACTTTTTGCATTGAACAACCTTTGATTTTTAAATTAAATGTCAGCTGCAGCCTTGCACTGGGATCATGAGTGCCCTTAGAGAGCCTGGCAGTGCAGTTCCCTGCTTGCCTAACAGCAATCCCTTTGTATATGGCCAATCATATGTAATTTATTGCAGGCATT